TTTTATAGTTGCTTTATAATGGTCAGTCTTCACATTTTTTTTTCAATATGCCGATGAAATCTATTAATACCTCTTGCATAGTACAGCTAGAAATAATCATATCTGGCTGAAGATATCTAGCTAAACCTGGGTCACCCAAACATCAGCTTGGTATTTGAGAAGGCAACAATTGATGCTTGTATTTGAGGGTGGAGAATGTTACGAAAGAGCAGGAACATGGATAAATAATTAAGGTTTTTTTTAAGCTTTGCTTTACCCTTGTGACTTTGGAGGATTTGGGGTTTTATCATTGGTTTTATGGACCAACTGGAGCAGGCTTTTGCATATGGGGTTCTATTGCAGTTATGCAAGAGATCATGAACAAAAAAAACCTTCCTTTTTAATTGCAAGGCTAACATTGTGCACCATACCTCAACTTACTGAACATGCTAATATACCATGAGCTACAGATACAATCATTTTTATGCAGGAGCTCCCTGATACCTGAAAATTATTTAAAGGGTCCCGCCAGTGTGGACACAACTCCCAGAATTCCCCAGCCATCCAGGCATCTAGAGTTTTATAATGTAATACTATGTAAGTAAATATATTTAAAAATGTGGCACTGGGTCAGGAACACAGGGTGCTTAAGCTTGTTTATGGGACTATAAGAGGTCCTGTCAAGTTGAAACAAGAACAAGGCTTTACTTTTAGTGCCATCCCTGACAGGTCCTCTCTGCATCTACATGTTGAGGGATCCAGTTTGCAAAGGAATTGATCAGATGCCCAAATCCCTTGGCTCCTAAATAACACACTTCTTTATGAATGACTGTGCTCAACGCATGAATGATGAATACTACGAGTGCCAGAAAAAGAAAAGGGGTATTGTAGCTCCCAGAGATCCGGAAGCCAAGCCAAGAGATGGAAAGAAAAGAGGCTAACAACTGAATCCTTATCTCAGCCAGCTTAAACAAAGCAACTGTATAACAGAAAAGGGATGGTAGAAAATGAGAAAACGCCATCCCGGCGAGATTTTATGGACTCCCCAAGATACACAAACTAGGGGTCCCCCTCAGACCTATTGTAGCGCTAGGGGATATTCCTACCTACAACAAGGCTAAATGGCTGGCACAATAATTAAGCTTCCTGACTTCACCTTCAAACACCGTAGTCACATCATCCACATAATTTTTGACATAGCTACGAGGCTTAAAAATGGCTCCTTATGAGATCATGGTCTCTTTTGATGTAGTGATCCTATTTATATCCATCTCTCCCCATTTAGCATCATCATCATCATCATCTTTTAATGACCCCCCATAATCCCTTGTGGTGTGGAATCTGGACAACTGAATGGAGCTGAGTGATTAGTGGCTGGATGCCCTTCCTGCTGCCAATGCAGAGTTATATTCAGCAGATATATATTCTCATCGTGCCCAGAGAGAAAAACATCGGCCTCTACCTAAGTTCGAACTCGCAGCCTCCTGATTGTGAGGTGACAACTCCACCACTAGGTCATCACCACTTCCCTCCCCACTTAGCACACAAAGTGATAAACAGAAAACTAGAATATTACAACACAAATCAAAACAACCTAACCAGGACACAAATCATGAATCTACTCCCTTTAAACTTCTTCATGTTTAAAAGGGAAATGGGCAAATAAAAGGGATACCCAAGGGACCCTCAATATCAGGAGTTATTGAGAAACAGTCCCATATAAACTGGAACATGGTACATTTTAAAACACCTAAAGTTTGGTACCGCTACATGGATGGACACATTTGTGGTTATCAAAGAAACGTGCTGGAAGATTTTTATACCCTATTAAATTCCATGTTCCTAGATATACAATTCACAGTGGAGGAAAAAACACGTGCTTAGATAATGCTTATCAACAGAAGATGGAAGCCTGGAAACAATGGTATATGGCAAGGCTACCAACACTCCAGGCATTCTAGATTTCAACGGTAACCATCCACTGTCACATAAAAAGAGCTGCATCAGAACACCATATGGTAGGGTGAGAACACACCATAGTATCCAGGAAGTAAAACATCTGGGGTGTAGGTACCTACATGAACAATTTAGACAAAATAGGCTTCCACAAGCATTTATCACAAGATGCCAGCACAATATGCTGGGGAGAGAAACAAAGAAAGAAGCCATAAGACCTACTACATTGCACACCCCGCCAGTGCAATATATTAAAAACATTTCAGAAACAGTAGAATCCAACTTCTGAGATGTGCAAGTGGGCATAATCCACCATCCAGAGGCTACCAAAGGAGGACAAATCATGCACTACAAAGATGGTTTAGAGCTGGAGAAACTTTGAAATGTAATTTACCAGATCCCCCCCACCCCCGGATTGACCTCGCAACTATGTGGGACAGAGAGGAAGCTAATTAGCAGACTGCAAGAACGCAAGTGATTGATAGCCTCACATTGCATGCATTCAATTTTGCAGCTACTACAATTGTTGGCCGAGCGGGGACAAAAATAGCCAGATAAATCATTGAACCCTGGGAAACAGGCTTTTATCAGTCAATAGGAGTGCTGATTTACCACCAGCCTATCAGATACTTAGAAGCTAAAGGCATAGCATCATAAAAACAACAATTAAGAACTTAATAGTCATCCATCAACATCTTAATAAACAACTAAAAACTACACACAACCAGGGACCATGTAAATAGAACATGCAGAACAGCCCAGTGCATATATTCTGAAGAGAGAGAAAATCCCTGATGATGGGCTCTAGCACGAGCTTGAAAGCTTGGAAAAATAAACCATTGGTCCCAGTGACCGACTCAAATTGGATCCTGCAACATTATCCTAGGGTTCATATAGTGCCTTTGTTCACATGAATTCTTTCTCCTGCAATGGAACTATGGGGGAACTCTGAGCAAGAACTTCTAGTTCCCTCTCCTCCCCATAGTGAAACAGAAATGAAGACAACAAAAAGGGCCCTTCTGATTCAGGGAAGCTAAGGTCCCCATTTCCATAACTTCTTGGGGTTTTGATTATTGTTACTATAGAATAACAATCTGGCCCTCCCATCACTCTGGGAAATGGAGATGATAGTGTGATTTTCTAGTGCTTTGCAACAGTGTGCAATTTTGTAATAATTTTTAAAAAGCAAATACTTTTGGGTAAATCCTAAAGTTGCTTGACTTTCTTCTACCGATTCAGCCCCAAATATGCCACTATTCTCCTGCTTCATATCACCAACGATGGGATTCTGAAGCTATCATGCCCCTGGTGGAGACTGACTCTGAGGGAGAGGAGGAACAGCTGACAGGGAGTGGAAGTGTGGCTCTGGAGGTTGTAGAGCAGGGGTCCCCAACCGCCGGTCCGCGGACCGCTACCGGTCCGCGGAACAAGTCTTACCGGGCCGCTGGTTGCTGGGCGCCGCCATCTTTTTTTGGTAAAAAAGTGCTTCCGGTGAGCTTTTCCGGGTAGAAAGCCATTTCTACCCAAAAAAGCTCACCGGAAGCGCTGGCGCCGCCATCTTTTTTGACGAAAAAGTGCATCCGGTGAGGTCACCGGAAGCACTTTTTCGTCAAAAAAAGATGGCGGCGCCCAGTTGATGCCGGTACCGGGCCGCGGCGCCCAGCTGATGCCGGTACCGGGCCGCGGCATCAAAAAGGTTGGGGATCACTGTTGTAGAGGAGGCTGGGGAAGGGCAGACGACGGCTGAGCAGTCAGAGGAGGACCCAGGCCCATCCCTTATCCATCCTAGGGCACGCAGGGAGGAGAGGATAAGGGAGAGACGTGGTCTACTCGAGAGGAGAGGGCCTTGATCCTCTTCATGGGATGCAGTGTGACAACTGCAGAAGAGTTTGGACCTGTGTACTGACAAACGCTGGAAACAAATCATGTAAATATCTCTAGTTTATAGTTCCTCTCTGAGATTGGCATCCTTCCCATTGTGTGTTAACTGTGGACATCCTCTAGCCCTTATCTCGCCTGGTTTGTGTTGCTTTTTTCCTTCTTCGTGTAACTGTTTTTGTCGGAGTTATTTGTTATTTGTTATTTCTGTCCAAGTTATTCAGAGCTTGGAAGCAAACTGAAGGAATAAAAGGGGCTTCACCTGTTTTCTGTGACTGTGTTTGTTTTGTATCACACCCTGGGTCATCACAGAAGCTATTTTGTGCACCATGGTTTGTCCAAGCAACACATGCTTTATAGGAACCAAGGACCAAAACATGCATGCTAAACCAACCATGATGGCAACTGCTGCAACTGTATGAATAGAAGCTGGCTGATGATGGCCTTTTTCCATGCTTAGCTTGTACATCTGCCCCGAAATCCTTCTTTTATCCCATGTTCACTCATATGATGCAATGTCATTCTTGTACTGCGGGAATGAAATAGCATGGAAAGCAACTATTCCAAAAGACAGAAATCTAGTTCAGATGTCAACTAATTGCTGGAGTCTGGATCACTAAAGGAAGAAATAGCACAAACCAAAATAAAAATGTTCTTCTCGGCTCACAATGAAAACAGCTGCAGAAATATAAATAACATCTTTATGTGTAACTTCTTCAGTTTTTCTACTAATCATATGAAACCATTCACTTTTGAAGCAAACTCTCAAAGACAGTAGAGTTGCTCAAAAGAGCTTCTATCCAGTCAAAGTAATGCTGCTAAAATAAAGGATGAATTCACTGGGATAGCAAAACACTTTGATCCAAATGTAACATAAGTGTTTGATCTTTTTATGGGATCAAAGCCACATTCTATTCTCCACAGACTAGTCACTTTACAATAATCACAGCCACTTGTCTCATTAAAGGAAGTTTCAATGAGGATAGTAATAATAATTTGTTTGCACAGGAGCTTTAATATTTTTTGCAACACTCTGTAGATATTTAATAAATCAGTTTATCAACAGTGACTTTATTTTCCTCATTACACCAACCTAGGATTCAAGTGATTTTTTTTCTTACAGCCTCACCAGAAGACATTCTGAAAACAGGCCCTTCTTCCTAAAACCAAGGTACAGCATTACTTACCCTGTAGTAATCTGTGCTATATACATCTCTTGACATCCCAAAATCTCCAATCTTCACCAGCAGGTTCTCCCCAACCAGGCAGTTCCGAGTAGCCAGGTCACGATGCACAAAGTGCTGTGATGCTAAGTAAACCATACCAGCTGCAATCTGCTGGGCAATGTGCAGCATCTGGGATTGGGTTAGTTCAGCTAAACGATTCCCTTCGGCCATCAAAACTGCATCAGGTCCATGCGCCCTGCGTGGAACACAGAAGAAATGTAGGAGATCTAATTTGGAACCTTTCCAAATAATGGTCTTACAGAAGAAAGCAGGAGGGTGGGAAGGAGGCATGATGGAAGCATCAAGGCCAGGTTTTATCAACTGGGCCACTTACTGTCCCTCAGTCCAGCCAGGTTTGCTATTGTGAGGGAAAATAAAAGGAGAGACCACTTTATATGCCACTTTGAGCTCCTGAACAAAAGATAGGATGCAAATCTAGGAAACAAACAAATCTAGGGGTAAAAAAGACTTTGAATAGTATTGGCTAGTTATAGATCAGGGGTGGGCAACTATGGCAATTTTATGACCTGTAGACTTCAATTCCCAGAATTCCTGAGCTAGCTGCCTCAGGAATTATGGGAATTGAAGTCCACAGGTCATAAAGTTGCCATAGTTGCCCATCCCTGATCTAGATACAGAAAGCTACCTATAGATTCCATATGTGGAAGAAAAATGACCTATAAATATTTTGTTACTGTTGCCAGTTATTGCTTTTTGAAGGTTTATTTGGAGGCATAGATTTAAGATGCCATCGTTTTATTTAATTTGATGTGAAGGAAGTTCTGCTCTGTGATATAACACATTGAAATTCACACTTGTAAATTTCCTTCGCTTTCGTTCATAATTCAAACATAATAAAGCAAACCACAGGACAACAGGGTAGCTCTGTATTGTATATCATGTTAGTTTGACCAAGTGGTTCAATTGAGTCCAGTTTGGTCTAGTGATTAAGGCACCAGGCCAGAAAACAGGAGCTCATGATTTCAATCTCCCCTTAGCCATGAAAGCCAGCTGAATGACTTTGGGCTATCTAACAGGGTTGTTGTTGTGGAGAAAATAGAAGGAAGGAACGTGTGTTGGATATTTTTGTCGCTTTAAATTTTTGTAAAACTCATGAAGGATACAAATATATATTTAAAATAGTGCTATCACTGTTAATAGACTATTGTCTGAAGGAACAATAACTGTCCCTGTCTAGGAAGCATATGCTCAATAACATGATTCTTCTTTTTTCCTAGACGTGAAGTAAAAATTAGAAAGAAAGATGACAAGAAAACATATCCTCTCTGATCTTCTTACTCTAACCTTATGAACTTCGTGCAGGTGGTCCACTTGCCTTCATATTTATTTTGGGAGAAGTCTAGAAGTCTACATACTCTAAATAGACCTGTGTTCAGAAAATACAAATGCATCGACTGGGAGCAATTTATAAGTTCAAATAGAGTTGTAGACATTCAGTTTACTTTCTGTATTATTGCCTGTGCAGGCATTGTACATTCATAAGAAGGAAAGAACCACAGCAGTATGTATGTGTATGTACGCACGTACCTACAAGATGTTGCTTGTCTATAAAAACAAATGCTGAAGTGCAAAGGATGGAGAAGCTTTCATCCCACTTCTGAAAATGTTGTTCTAGCTATCTATCTCCTTATTTATATTTGTCAAGGAACATGAGAATAACCACCAAGCTTCTTCCAGGCTGTTAAGAGTTGGTAGGGCATTTTGGAGGGGGGGTGTTGAGAAGATCTCATGGTATGTCAGCAAATCTGTTTTTGCAACTTCTGCTTGTGATACATACCACTATGAAATGCCTAAACCAGAACTCTAAGCAGAGGCTGCGTCCCTGATAATTAACAGCAAACAACATTCAGAAGCAAAGAAGTGCACCTTAAATGAGCTGCAATAGGTAAATAACAGTTTTGCTGACACTTCCAGGTTTTGGCAGCATACCATAGTGAACAATGGCTCTGCACTTATAACTGCAGCATTCATTTAACAATTGTGGCATTTACACTTACAACCATTGATTTCTCTTAACAAGTGCCACAAAAAGCATCGTAAAATTGGGTCAGTCTTTTGACAACTGTTACAGCTTGTGACAGTGATAAAGAGGTTCCATAATGGTCATAACTCAAAGACTTTCTGTACACACTTCATTTACATATTGAAAATGAATTGACTTGATTTCTCAGTAAAGCACAAACAATTTTCCTTTTCCTGCTATTAAGCCACCTCCTCACCCTTTTCTGAACATATTTTGTAATTTTTTTTAAATAAGTCATTGTACCTTTCTGCTATTTCCATTTAATACTGAACAAAGACATCTATACTATACACCCCGAATCAAATACCTTCCTTTTCCTGCTTATGCAAGAATCACTCAATCCCAACACTTCATTTTCATACTGCTTTTCAGGGACTTGTTCTGTTTCTTCTTCCTCAATATAATGTGAGATTTCAAAATGTGCCATATCATTACTGGATGATGTGCTTGCTATTTCTATTTTTGAGCTATAGAGCTGTGAATCAACTCTTTTCAGTTGGTAGAAGCACAGATCAAGGTTGCTCAAATTAAAGGCCATGAAGTACATGTACTTCAGAGCCACTCCATACTTTGAAGCTCAAAGAACAGTGTGCTGAAAATCAGATACAGTCATATTCTTGCCCGTGACCAAATATTTGGAGTATAAAATAGAACACAACTGAAGACTTCTGAGGAGCTGAAATACCACCAGCTTTTAACAGGGCTCTGTGATCTAGTCATATTGTTCTTCTGCCCCATTCTTGTCCCTCCCTGCATAAGTCAAGTCTATCCATCTCAATTCAATATAATTTTCTGCAGTCATATATCAAGACTATCCAAGAATGAGAACCCCTTCTGATTTCCTCCCGCTGCCATGACCAACTTGGTCAGTTTAGAATAACCCCAAAAGATACAAACTCTGTGTTGCTTCTAGATTTTTACTGCTTCATCTCCTCTAGAACTGGGTTTGATTTTGTCAGTGATTGCTCCTGAAACATGCATTGCCTACATTTCGCACTCAGGAATTCTTTCTGATCTTCAGTTACTGGCCCGCAATTGTCTGTCTGCCTGTCTCTGTTTGACTCTGTGTGTGTGTGTTTGTGTGTGTGTTTGTGTGTGTGTGTGTGTGTGTGTGTGTGTGTGTGTGTATGTGTCTAAAAATTGTGAGCTCATTTTGTTTCTCAGTGGCCTTGGGGGGCGCTGCAGGGTAAGAAATAAATGTGCTTCCAAAGCATGATGACATGCAAATATCATAAGTAGTGTCAAATGAAAGAAGAATGCTAAATTTTAATTTCGCTTAAGAGAGTCTCTTTTTCACTGAACCCGTTCTGGATACTACAGATGATGAATAACAAACTTTTCAAAAAAGAAGATACATTACTGTCAAACTGCTTCAACTCAAAGTGCAACAGGTAGAAGGCAAGCCACTACCATAATATATAAATGAATGGGTGCTTGAGTTGCTGTTAAAGCAGTGTAATTATAACTAATGTTTAATGCATGCATTCAATTGTGCGAGGCTGTCTCCTTCCACTAATTTCCAAGTCACGCATTAGAAGCAAATCACTATCAATAGGCTGGTTTTCCAAACTTTCTAAGACTGATAAATATCTTTATAAGCAAGCAAATAACAGGTATATGTATATTTCAGAGCTTGGCATCCAGGGAGCCTATTTATTTTGCAAAATAAAGCAAGGCGGCACTCCTTGCTTGTGGGTAGTGGTATTTCTCATTAAGAATTTTCTTAGGCAAAACAATTTGTGGTACCATGTAATACCAGTCTTCACTTACCAATTGCACCAATAACAGATAGACAAAAAGATGGAAAGAAAATACTGAGACAAAACAAGGTAAAAACAAAGAAAATCAGGCTTATTGGGGGGTGGGAAGGAAAATTAATAGGAGGTGAGCGAAAATGACTTGACAATGTTGCTACAACAGGACTGTTCTTATCTGCTTGCTCACAATTTCAGTCTAACCACCTTCAATACATGGAGTATTTTTATGTCTGTGTACAAAGAGTCTAACAAAAATTTGGCAATTGTTCAGACTTTAGTGCAGGGATGGGCACCTATGGAAACTTGACAATCTGTGGACTTCAGCTCCCAGAATTCCTGAGCCAGCCATGAGAGTTGAAGTCCCAACTTATAAAATTGCCAATCCTGCTTTATTGAAAACTACATTGGAAAAAAATCATGAAAATGGAGAGAATAATTCAAATATCATTAGGAAGTCAGCAGAGAAGTTGCTGCTCAATCACCATTTTAGATACCTCTTCTGTGGAAATTAAACTGATGAATACTAGAGAAAACAAAAACAACCCTGAGTTACCCCCCAAATATCATATTTCTTAATTCAAGACTTTTTTCCAAATATATTAATCTACAACATTTCATTGAATAAAATTTTATATTACAAATATTTCATAAAGAAACATTTATATGAAATAAGAGACTGAGTTATACCAGGACAGATTATTCACTCCTTCAGTTAAGCTACACTTTGGTGATGTGAATAACCCAGCTGAGTTCACACAACAGCTACTAAATCCTAAAATGTTACTTGCGAATCAAATTGGCTAGATATATAGAACATGCTAGTCCAATCCAAATAAATTGTACTACAACTACTAGTACAACTTTACCAATGCTCAGCAGCAATTATTCGGCTTATTAAGGCAAAACTACTTATCCTAATTAGGAACACCTAGTTTTGAACATGAACTTTATACATATACAATGATGATGACATGTCTACCATTTCACTTGGCCTCTCCTTTACAGAGGCATTCTTCTTTCAGAACAAGACTAGACAGTTTTATTTTTTTGTTTTTCCTTATTTGAAATATTTTGTCTTTCCTCAAGGGAATGCTGTGCATGCATTAATAAACAATAGGTGTTCATTTTAATAAAAAATGCATTTTGGCATTTGATTCAAACTTCTAAATCTATAATAAATGTACTAATCTTTAGGACTTTTAATGCATGTAAGTACGTGAAGCCATTTTTAATGTGAGCCTGGGTTTTTTCCCTGAAGCAAAATTCAGAGTACTTGGTTTGAAAGATTTTTGTTAGTGAAATGAGGTACAATGTGTTTGGGTATGCGCTATAAAAGTGGTATGTAGTCTATTTTTTACCCAAACTAAATTATGATATACAATAAAATATTATGTATTTATAAAAATGAAAAATATTGTTCAGATTTTTTTGCCTTAGAAAATAAAAGCTTTGTAGTAGAGACCTATAGATATTGCTACTAGAAAATGCTTTATTGACACATTTAAACATGTCAATCATGAAACCTGAATTATAATACTATTTTCAAGTAATGACACATTCTGTTTACATATTTGAATCATGGTTTATGAATATATGTATATATTTTTATTTTGATAACCTAACCACCATTCATTTTTAATCATTAGGACCTGGCCAATTTTTTTCATAATGCTTTTCAGAATAAGTAGAAAGTAAGTTAAATCAGTTCAGAGAACATAAGATATAGACAACGTTGAAGGACAGATTCTTCCAGAGAATCACAATGGGAAGTAAAAAATGTAGATTAGATCTAGAGATATGTAATATTTACGGAGAAAAATAGACATTCTTATAATAATTGAAGACTTCTATGACTCTGATAGAGCTTAGGCTATGACAAAGAAACCAGTGATTAAGTGATTAGCCTTGGCACAATTGGGCATAAAACCAGCCAAAGGGAGGCAACCCTAGACTTAATCCTAAAGTATGGCCATGATCTTGTGTGAGTCATTACTACTGCAGAATCTATAGGGAACACTGACTATAATATTATATTTAGCACGTACTCAGCTGAGGAATTGCCTGTGAAATCCAACACATTTGAGTACAAAAGGGGTTATTTATCAAAGTGAAGGGATGGATGAAAAACAGAAGGCCAAAGAGAAATTATTTAAAGCCTTAATAACTGAAACCCAACTAAGTACATTAACAATGTAAAAAAAAAAAGACCACCAAGCCCAAGAGGCCAGTATGGCTTTGGAATAGTGTCCAGGTAACTATGAGATGTAATGAATGAAAAGTCTGTCATAATTTAAGCTAAAGGTTTCCTGATCCAGTCATGTCAGTCTCTAGGGAGCCATTCTCGTCTTCATTTCTTAGCCAAGGGAACCAGTATTGTCTGAAGACACTTTCATTTTCTTATGGCCAGCATGAGGCCCATGGAATGCTGTTAACTTTCCACAAAAATGGTACCTATTTATCTACTCACATTTGCATGCTTTCAAACTACTTGGTTGGCAGGTGATGGGAGAAATAATGGGAGTTGACCCATCATGCACTCAGGTCTTGAACCAGAGGTGGTATTCAGCAGGTTCTGATTAGTTCTGGAGAACCAGTAGCAGAAATTTTGAGTAGTTCGGAGGACCAGCAAATACCACCTCTGACTGGAGATTTTACAATATCCTTCCCCTGCCATGCCCACCAAGTCACACCCACAGAACCGGTAGTAAAAAAAAAATTGAATCCCACCACTGTCTTGAACCCATGTTTGTCAGCTTTCCAGCAGACAAACGGTCTTTAATCGCTGAGCCATCCTGCCCCCTCCTGTCATAATTGAGAGTACAAAAAGGAGAATCAGCTTTGCTAGATAATGCGGGGGGGGGGGGGGGGGTATGAAAAAAACAAAAACAAAAATGGAATAGTAAGAACTCTTTTATATGTATAAAAATATATTAAAAGCAGGAAAGACATTCAAAGCAACCGAGGCATTAGATGACAAAGAAGCCAAAACATTCAACATTCTTGTGTTTTTTTTTTAAAGTTACTCATCAAAGGCTCTTGAGTAAACTTAGCACCCATGGGATAAGAGGCCAGGTCTTTTAATAGATTGGTAACAAGTTAAAAAAGGAGAGAGTGGAAATAAAGCAGCAGTTATCTCAGTGGAAGGAAGTACGAAGTAGAGGCCTTCAAAACCTTTATTGAGAATCTATTCAGCTTATTCAGAAATGATGTTAAACAGCAAACTGCCCAAATATGGGGATGATAACATATTTGGGCCGATAAACAAAAAAAATAACACCAAAACACACCATAATTATATTTTTAATTGGATGAATGATCAACCAAATGACAAATGTAGTCCAATTTAAGTAACTGTGAGGTAATATATGTTTGGGGCATACAAGCCTTCCTCACATATAATTTGATGTGGTCTAAGCATTGTAACTAACTGTGTCAAAGATCTTGGGGTCACAGAATAACGCTAAAAGAAGTGGTTTAATTGTGAGGCAACTGTGTAAAATACAGCAAAAGATCATCAGGAAAGGGATAAATATATATATATATATATAAAAATACCAGCATTGTACTGTAATCCCCATTTATGGGATAAAGCTTGATAGAAAGACAATTGAGTGAGAACATATAAAATCATGCACAGTCTGGAGAAAATAGGTGGGAGGATTTTTTTTTTTTTTTGTCTTCCTCTCTCAAACATGAAGACCAAGGCCATGCAATAGAACTTGTCGGGTGATTTAAAACAGACAATAAGAAGCATTTCTCTATATACTGCATAATTAGCCTGTGGAATTCATTATCACACGGCATAGGGACATCTGGAAGGCCACTATGAGAAATAAAATGCTGGACTAAAGGATGGGCTTTTGGCCTGATCCAGCAAGACTATACTCACATAGGAATGCGTACCAATCAAATTATTCCATTTGGATCACAACTCAGCAATTTGGAAAATAGCCCAATTTCATCTTAGACCCATTGGAAAGCTATCCAAATTGATTGCAGGGCCAAATACAAATTAAGAGTTGGAAATGTGAATCTTTGAGCACTCATTGACTTTCATGGAGAATTGACACATGACCATAATTGTTTACCTTTCTTTCTTTCTTTCTTTCTTTTTACAGAGGTCTATTAAATGCGTATGTATGGCAGAATTTTACAAGAGGGAGAAGTCTACCAAGTTTCAGAAAGGAATTTGGACAAAATTAGATGAAATGTGAGAGGCACAGTTGCCCCTTCTGAGTGAATCTGAGCTGCCAAATTCAAGATGAATAGCTTCGGGGATTTTTCTTTAAGGCCCAACTTTTAAATGTGTTGTGCATTTGCAGGAACGTGAGATTCTGAAAAAGAAATGCATTTTCCAATGTGAACAACTGTCAGTTTTGAGTTTTGAGACTACATCTTTCATATCTCACAGATTGTTTCATATACCTGGGATGGAAAGTTTGCAAAGACTACTAAATGTTAACAAGAAAACAAGGAAGGTCTCCTTACAGATGTACTTCATGGAAAAAGCTGCACTCATCCATGCCACTTATTTAGCAACAATAGGAGGATTGTTTGCCATTGTCTTCTTCAACATATATTTTCTAGTATCCAGTTGGCTTATATCCCTGATATTCATTGGAGCTATATTTCTCATTGTCAATCACAACACTCTCTTAGTTTCTGGGCCCAAGTAAGGCCAATCAGATACCACTGGTTCTATTATACAGGTAGTCCTCGATTTACAACAGTTCATTTGAAATTCCAAGCATTGAAAAAAGTGACTTATGACCATTTTTCACACTTATGACCACTGCAGCATCCCCACGGTCATGTGATTTACATTCAGATGCTTGACAATTAACTCATATTTATGACAGTTACAGTGTCCTGGACTCGTGAGATCCCTTTTTTGCAACCTTCTGACCAGCAAAGTCAATGGGAAAACCAGATTCACTTAACAACTATATTAATAATTTAAGAATTGCAGTGATTCACTTAACAAACGTGGTGAGAAAAGTCATAAAATGGAGCAAAACTCACTTAACAAATTTCTCACTTAGCAACATGAATTTTGAGTTTAATTGTAGTTGTATGTTGAAGACTATATTTCAGTGTCTCTTGTCTGAAATACTTGATTAGAGAACCTTAGTAAAACAATGTATTGTTTTTATTTTAATTGTAAAAATAGAAAAATCAGTTTCTCCACACCTTGATTTTTTCTCCTTATCTCAGAGATATATTCCATTAAATATTGGTGAACTGTAAGACTGAGAATACTGCTGTCCTTGTTAATGGTGGCTTCTGGGAACTATAGTTCAGCAATATCTAGAGGGCCAAAGTTTCCTAGTCCTGCATATAAAATGCTTGGAGGAAAAAATACAGATTACTACAGAAACACTGCAGCAACTCTCCAAATCTCTAACTTAATATTGAAACTTCAGGGGTGTTCAGGTGAATTCATATTTGAACATAGAATGTGGAAAAATGTTTAAAAAAATATCACAAATTCACCTGAGGAATTTGTTGAGATCTCCATGTTTCATGTATTCAAAGACCATGATGAGAGGATCTCCTTCCACACATACTCCATAAAACTTGACAATATGTTCATGCTGTAGATTAGTCAATAGTTCTGCTTCTCGATGGAAGTCTTTGCGGGCATTGTCACTGGCATCCTTCAGGGTCTACAAAGAAAGAAAACAAAAATTGAAAGAAAGGTATTTATCTCCAAGATGCTTTACAACTTCTGTATCTTGTTGTCTTGGGGGTGGGGGTGGGAAATCATGAAATTGGAAGGAGTTATCCCACAGAGATAAGGTGCTTTGGTGTATCTATATCACAGTTCTTGATATTATTGGTAGCTTCTTCACCAGAGACAAATTCCTTGTGTGCCTAATCACACTTGGCCAATAAAACCTTCTGTTCTGTTCTGTTCTGTTCTGTTCTGTTCTTGGCATTCTCAATTCTGAATTCAGTGACTCTAATATCTAAGTTTCTGATCCATCTTTTAATTTTTTCCAACCTAGTTTTGGAATATTGGGAAGAAATTATGTCAATGCTTTGCACTCTGTCCATTCATCAGCAAGGCAACTTTCTCAAACCTGTACAGATATCCTCAACGTACTTCATTTAGTGACCATTCAAAGTTACAAAGGCACTGAAAAAAAGTGACTTATAACCATTTTTCACAGTTATGACCTTTGCAGCATCCTCATGATCATGTGATCAAAATTCAGATGCTTGGCAACTGGTTCATATTTATGATCAAGGTGCTATGTCCCAAGGTCATGTGATCACCTTTTGTTACCTTCTGACAAGCAAAGTCCATGGGGAAGCTAGGTTCGGTTAACAACCTGATTAATAATTTATCAACTGCAGTGATTCACTTAACAAGAAAGTGAAGAAAGATCTTCACTTTCTAGCAAGAAAGATTGTAAAAGCGGGCAAAAATCACTTCAGTAATGTCTCACTTCACAACAGAAACTTAGGGCTCAAGCAATTTCGTAAGTTGAGGACAACCTGTACTGAATGAGATCATTGAAGTCAGTCCAGAAGACTAAGCTGAAAAAAAAAGCTTCATTGTTGTCTTGGACTACATCTCCCCACGTTATTGTCGTTCCTGTACTCAAAATAATATTGTGAGATTTTGGGGAATACTGCAGTAAAATGTCAAGGCTCAAAGCTTTTTCTGGATGTTGTAATACCGCAAAGATGGAGATACATTTCTGAGGAACCACTGTCAAAATCGTATGTATATACAGGCAAAATGGTATTTATGCAGAAAGACAGTCCTAGTAGCCTGAATATACCCACCCTTATCTCTCCTAGGACTGTTACAGCGATAACCATAAAACTTCATTTGGTAGAACATGTTGCATCTATAGTGCTATTAAGCCCTTGCTATGGAACCCCTGAGGAGCCCCACCGAGCTTTTGCTTTTGATCTCCAAGAAGCTGCTGAGCTCTATGATGGAACGGTTGCTGTGGTAACTATACACTGCCTTGTGAAACCACCAAATGAACAATTTCTCTTAATCCAAGATAGGTTCTTTTTGTCTGAGAATTACTCTGGTGGGAACATTTTTATGGCATCCTCTAATGCTATTGTCCTCAGTGCAGTTCTCATAAGACTAGAAACTCACTTAATAATAATAATAAAAAATTCTCCTTGCCCTCTCCATCCCTCAGCACTTTCAGATGTCTTTTGCAGAATTAAGAAGAATGCATTGGGAAGGGAGGACCTTTCAGTGGCCACCACATCCTCCTACCTCCACGAATTTATTGAAAACTCTGAGGACAGGTTCCATGTACATGTTGTCATACAGGCAACTGTAGGGTTGGCATAAAACTTTTCCTCAGATGAACACTGACTTTTCTCGAAATGGAACTTTGTCTGGATCATTGTTGTGTCTGGAAGAATATTTTATTTTCTTCATCTATTTTAGGAGTTTGTTTGCTTGTTTATTTTATTTGTATCCTGCCTTTATATTTTTAGAAATAACTCAAGACGATGGGTCTACTTAATCTTGCTTCTGCCTCCTATTTTCTCTACAACAGGGGTCTTCAAACTTAACAGCTTTAAGATTTGTGGACTTCAACTCCTTGAATTCTCCTCCAGTCAGGTTAGCTCAGGAATTCTGGGAGTTGAAGTCCACAAGTCTTAAACTTGCCAAGTTTGAAAACCCCTGCTCTACAACAACAATTTTGTGAGGTGGATTGGACTGAGAGAGAGTGACTAGGCCAAGGTTACCCATCCAGCTTTCATGACTAAGGTGGGACTTGAATTCATAGTCTCCTGGTCTCTAACCTGGTGCCTTAACCACTAGACCAGTGGTTCCCAAAGTGGGCGGTACCGCCCCCTGGGGGGCAGTGGGATACCTTAGGGGAGCGCTGAGAGGCAAGGGGGCCAGCAGGGGGGCGTTAAGAGGCGGCAGGGGGGTGCTGGAGGTGAGTGGCAAGGCACAATTCAGGGGTGAGAAAAAATCCCACCGCCGCCGCGTTCAAGGCAAGGACCTGCAGGATCATCCCATTGATTTGCATGCTCTGATGCAAGGAGCTCCGTCCCAAATGCAGCATTGGGAAAGGAGAGCAAAGCCTTTGCTCTCCTTTTCAAACATCCTGCTGCCGCCGTGTTCCACCCCATTGAGCCCCTTGCACCGGAGCCACCTGCCCAAGCAAGTCCGAACGGAGCAGTGCACTAAGTCAATGGGGTGAGCCTGAGAAAGAGAGAAGAAAGAGAGAGAGAGAGAGAGAGAGAAGGAAGAAGAGAAAGAGAAAAGGGAAAGAAAGAAAAAGGGACAAAGAAAGAGGGGGGATGGAAGGAAGGGACAGAAAGAAAAAGAAATAAAGAAGGAGGGAGGGAGGGAGGGAGGAGAAAGATAATGAGATAGCTATTCTAGTCCAATCACTTGCTTCAGCAGGGTAAGAAGGAAGTGTGTGTGTGTGTGTTCTCCTTGTAATTTACCAGTACATTTTGGTTTTGCCTTCTTCAGAATTGGTACTGTAATACATTGGGGAAAATTAATTTTTTAGGGTGGAGATCTGGTCCAATGGATCCTGTTTAAAGCCTTAACAAAATGTGAGAGCTTCCTGATAGTCTTGACCATGTTTTGTCCACAAAACCTTTAATTAATAGAAGCCAAAGAGGTTTCAATGTGCTGGCAAAGATGTTTCAATGTGGAAAAGGGCCTCTAAACTAGGCCTCATTTCAATCTGATGCATCAGGTCTCTCTCTCTCTCTCTCTCTCTCTCTCTCTCTCTCTCTCTCCCTTTCTCCCCCTCCATCTGTCCATGCCCACCCTTTCTTTGTCCCTTTTCTTTCTTGCCCTTTTCTCTTTCTTTTCTTCCTTCTCTCTTTCTCTCTTTTTTCTCTCTCTCTCTTTCCCTCTCCCAGGCTCACCCCATTGATTTGGTGCACTGCTCCGCTCGGACTTGCTTGGGCAGGTCCGTCCAGTGCAGTGGGCTCAATGGGGTGGACCTGCGGGGCCGGCACCTAGAACGCGGCAGTGCCGGCACATTTGAAAAGTAGAGCAAAGCCAGAGGTTGGTAATTTTTGCTCCAAAGAATCACAAAAGCTTCTGGGTTGTGCACAAGAAGGGACACACATGTCAATGCAATTCAGCAACATAAAATAAAAAAATACAAATAAAACAAATCAACAAGAATTAGCAAAGCATCTCTGATTAGATTTTATTCACTACTAGAATCTAATCGGAGATGCTTTGCCGATTCTAGTCCAATGACCTGCTCCAGCAGGGTTGGAAGGGAGTATGTGTATATGTGTGTGTATGGCTGTCTAAACTCCAAAAACAGGTCAAGTAGTTCTGGGGAGGCCAGTCATAATTTAGAACACTTGCTAAGCAACTGGCCATTAAGTGAGGACCACTTGTATTTGGTTTGCCAGTCACCAAACCACGCTCACCCAGTCATGTGACCAGCAAGCCACGCCACCAGTCATGTGACCAGCAAGCCACACCCACCCAGTCATGTGACCAGCAAGCCACACCCACCCAATCACGTTACCAGCAAACCACACCCTCAAATTAGGCCACGGCCACAGAAATTTGAATCCTGCCCCTGGGTGAGGGGCATTGAGGATGAGTTTGTAGCACCAAGGGGGCGGTGGACTTAAAAAGTTTGGGAACCACTGCACTAGACCAAACTGGCTCTCCTTAGTAAATATAGTGAACAGTTACTGTCTTCTTAAAATGTTTTTCAATTAACTTACCTAAAATGATCCTGAACTCTAAGTGTTCATTTATTTGTTGGTCCATCTACAGGATAACTCTCTAAACACTGAATAGAATTGGACCAAATTCTATAAGTGGCGGAAGCCAGGAAAAAAGAAGAATGAATTCAAAATTGGAGGCAAATCTGTTTATGGAGAAAACAATATTTTGGGCTATTTTCCCACATTACTGTCATTCTTTGTGAACCCAAAATAACACTGTAAGATTTTTGGAAATATTAGGATAAAGTAGAAAGGCTCAGAGCTTGTAAAAAACTTAGCAATCTTGCAAAGATAAAGATAATCCTTCTAGAAACAACTAAGTTATAGTCAGTGATGGGATTCAGCCAGTTTGCACCACTTTGGGAGAACCGGTTGTTATATTTCTGAGCAGTTTGGTGAACTGGTTGTTGGAAGAAATCATTAGGGCAGAAAACCGGTTGTTAAATTATTTGAATCCCACCTCTGGTTATAGTTGTAGATATGTTCCAGATAGAATTGCACTTATATACTGAAAATGATCCCAAGTATTTTTGAATACTCATCCTTATCTCTCCTAACACCATAAAAAAGATAAACATAAATTTTCATTTGAAGACATACAATTACTTTGATTTCTTTATCTTTACTAATATTTTTAAACAGCAAAATTCCAATGTTAGTGGCTTGAATGTTTTCAAAATGTAAACATGGAAGCCCTTCAGAAATCAGGCAAAGTAGAGAGCAATATGTACTGATGACTAGAATTGGAGAAGAAATTGGTCAGTTCCACTTATTGATACCATTGGAATTAATTGCTGCTCCAAAATTTATAATAAACAAATTAGAATGCCAACACAATATGTTTTGCCTTTTGCTTTGCAGTACAGTACCTCGACCATTAAAAGTATCTAAAAATAGCATAGAAGATGGCATATAAAATACCTGCCGGTATATTAAGGGAAATTTTTAAAATAAATGCACATATTAAGAACAAAAATGCATAAGAACGCATGCTGCAAACAGATGCCAAATCAGGACAGACTGATTGATTAGGAAAAAAATACTAATTTCATGTCAAATGAAACAGGCAATTCTGACTATCCTTACAGAAGTCTGCAATTTAGCCTGTTGTCAGTGTTTCCTCTTAGAATAAAATCACTCCATTTCAGGATAAAAGCAATGTAACACAAGTCAACTTTCAAACAAGATAGAAAAATGCTATTTCCATTCAGCATAACCCCTCATCATATTGCTTTTAGAACGCTTATGGAAAGCCAGCATGCCATTTAAATCTCACTTAAGTCCTTCTGCACAGAAGCTCACTGAAAAGTGGACACCTACAAATCAAACTTTCTACAAACAAATTGAAAGTAAAAATAAACCCATCGCTCCCATCTTTCTCCTTTTCCTTTTCCTTCTCCTTTTCTATGAAGATTCTCAGTCCTCCAGTCATGGTTATCCCAAAGGTGCTGTTCAAAAGGCAACTGGACTTTTTTGGTAGTTTCTTTGAAAACATTTCACTTCTCATCTAAGAAAGCTTCTTCATTTCAGAAGTGAAGAAGCTTCTTTGATGAAAAGTGAAATGTTTTCAAGGAAAATATCAAGGAAATCCAATTACCTGAACAGCACCCTTGGGACCGTCTCCTTCTTTCAAAAAAGCTAACCATGTTTTTTCCCCCTATGTGTGAATGTGTGTATATTTATTTATCCCATTTCCCTATAAGATCTTGGAATGCCTACTCTTTTCAAATGATTTATGGTTACCAGATCAGAATATCTGCTGAATTTTTTTCACTCTCCCCCTTTCTTTGCCAAGCATTTAATTTTCAGCTGTAGACTTCCCACAAGGCATAACAGTAGCTATTTCTTCACATGCATACAGTACACAATGCTGTTCTGGGTTGCTCAGCAACCAGTGAGGAGGCATGTCAAAGAGCCAATGAATGAAAAGAAAATGTGACAATGCTTGAACATTAACAAAGATATGTTTTGCTTGTTCTGCTACTCCTCAATCTATATTTCTTCTGAAATGGACGTATCAGTCACAAAGTACTCTTAACTGGAGAAAATAGAAACCATTTTGCAAAACCAGTGGTCAGTGCAATTTCTGCACTTATTCTGGAATTGGTCTCACCAGTCTCCTTACTATGCTTGTTTCTGGACTTCTTGCATGAATTGTGCTTGGCTATTTCATCTTTTTATCACAGAGACAACCATGAGGTTAGACAAACAAAGTAAGCCCAAATGAACGCTAGTGCTTAGCTTTGAAGTCAAAGCTCCAGATCTGTCAAAAAGTGACTTATTTTGTGCATATTTGTTAAAAGTATGAAAGCAGTTGAGGAAGAGAATAAGGTTGCATACACTGGGACTGCTCAATCCTTGCATTCTTCTGACAGAGTAAACCAAGGTTGGGCAACTATGGATCCTTTATGATTTGTGGACTTCAATTTCCAGAAATCCTGAGCTATCTTGGTTGGCTGAGGAATGCTGGGAGTTGAAGTCCACAGACTGATCGTAAAGAGGCCATAATTGCCTAACCTTGAAGTAAATAGAACTAGCTAAGAAATGGGATCATTGCAGAGCTCATCAAGATTTACCACAGGGGCCCAAAATATGTTCTGTTTATGGCTTCACCTTTTCTCTGTGGGGTGTGTTGGATGGGTAGGGCCAGGACAAAAAAAAACAACCAGATTGCATTTGTTTGCATGCATAATTAACATTGCACTGAATTTATTCAACACAAGTAGCAGGAAGACTTTATATATCTAATTGTTTTTCATTTCATCACAATAACTGTTACAGTTACTAGCAGTTCTTAGAGAAACTTGTGGGGCACCAGCATCCAAAATGGTGCAGAGTAACTCTTGGACTCTGCCTCAAAACAATAGCAATTAATATAACTTTGTAAATACACAGACAAAGGAGTAAGTATTACTGTTGAAACCCAAATGCCTTTGTGGATCAATCTAAACAATAGTGGGAGTAATATTCTCAGAAAGAAATAACTTATTCTGGAGAAACAGAAATGACTGATGTATAACACAAGCCTGTAGGATATATATATACCTTTACAGCAACCAAGATCTTATCCTGCTCAGGACATAGGTTATAACATTCAGCCAGGAAGACTTTGCCAAAAGCTCCTTCTCCCAGCTCCCTCTTGAGGACGATATTGTGGCGCTTGATATGCTGGACAACTGTAATGTAAAAGATAAAAATGAGGATCAGTTATCCACCCGTTTCTAGTTAGTTTGTCAACAGTGGAAGCTTACAGCACATTAAATGAAGTTTGCTACGAGGGTTTGACAAGCCCTATTGAGATGGGTCATAGAAAGTGAGACGTCTAGGTTTTGCCCTTTCTCATGATTAAAAATATTATGATAAAATAAAAAAGGCTCAGAGCTTATACTGAGCTTTGCAGTATTGCAAAGATAGAGATAATCTTTACAAACAAGTAAGTTGTGGCTGTAAATACGTTCCAGATAAAATTGCGTTTATATACTGAAAATGATCCCAAGTATTTTGAATACTCATCCTTCTCTCTCCTAGCACCATAAAAAATAAACATAAATTTTCATTTGATTACAAGTATCCTGATTTCTTTATCTTTATCGATATATTGAAACATAAAAATTGTAATGTTAGTAGCTTTAATGTTTTCAAAATGAAAAGATGAAAACTCTTCAGAAATCAGGTCAAATAGAGAACAATCTATATTAATGACTAGAATTGGAGGAGAAATTGGTTGGTTCTTGATACAATTTGAATTAAGGCCAACACACTGGTCTTTTATCTTTTCCAGCGTAATACTTTGACCAATAAACGTATCTAAAAATAGCATAGAAGGTGCATATGAAAATATCTATATTAGGGGAAATTGCTTGTAAAGAAATGCACATATTGAGAACAAATATGCGTAAGAATATATGCTGCAAACAGATGCCAAATCAGGATAGAAACTTTTGTGGTTAGAAAAAAAATACTAATTTTACATCAAATGAAACAGACAATTTTGTTCATCTTTACAGAAGTCTGCAATTGAGCTCCTTAGCTGGAGTTCCTGCTTCCTGCTCCAAAATAGGCTGCATTCAAAAAAATTGTAGTATGGCTATAATATTATTATCATTATTTTCTTCATTCTCCCTTCTCAGTAGTAGTAGTATGATAATGATGATTGTTGCTTTGCATATACACTGAGAGCTTCTGCACTGGGGATAAATTCCTTGTGTTTCTGATCACACTTGGCCAAATAAAGTATTCATTCATTCATTCACTCATTCATCCATTCATTCAATTTCTTACAGATCCCTGATCATCTTTTTATTAACAGATAATCAGAGTTGGAAGGGACCTTATAGGTCATCTAGTCCAACCCCCCGCCCAAGTGAGGGACCCTACACCATTTCTGTTAAATGGCAGTCCAATCTCTTCTTGAAAGTCTCAAGTGATGGTGCTCCCACAACTTCCGAGGGCAAGGTGTTCCATTGGTTGATTGTTCTCACTGTCAGAAAGTTTCTCCTTATTTCCAGGTTAAATCTCTCCTTGTTCAGTTTCCATCCATTATTCCTTGTCTGGACTACAGGTGCTTTAGAAAATAGCTTGACCCCTTCCTCTCTGTGGCAGCCCCTCAGATATTGAAAGACCGCTATCATGTCTCCCCTGGTCCTTCTCTTCACCAGACTAGCCAAGACCAGTTCCTGTAACCGTTCTTCATATGTTTTAGTCTCTAGTCCCCTAATCATCCTAGTTGCTCTTCTCTATATTTTTTCTAGAGTCTCAACATCTTTTTTATAATGAGGTGACCAAAACTGGATGCAGTATAGAGTGGTATTAGTACCTCAATTTGTAGTCACACATATGATATAGTCACTAGTCACATTACTGGAGTATAACCTTATTTATACATTACTGATACATTACTTAATTAACATTACTGGAGTATAATCTTATAATCTTTTCAGGTAATTTGCTTTATTTCCTTATTCATCTGAGTTTATACTCATATATATCACTATGACAACTTATAGTAACAAGTATTTGTATTGATATTTAATGGAACTTTGCCAGCCCTGTCCAGATTGAGTCTTTCTGAACTCCTTGGGTGGTCAGGGAGGGAGATTCCACAGAGATGAAGGTGAATTGGAAATCTTGCAGAAGTCCTAAACATGTGCTACAATCTGGGTCATGCTGGGTTAGGAAAACTGTCCCAGAAAGACAGTTATTTCCTATCTGCCAAGGACAGCATGTACTGTATGTTGTTTTTTACTCAGACTTTAATTTGCATTTCTTCAAAATCAAATCAAAATGGCCACGAACCATAAAAATAACAAATAGAACAACATAAACCACTAACATATATCCCTCCACTTTAAAACAAACCTCCCCAATTATTCAATCAAAGCAAAGAGTGCCAAAGCAATAGTTAATAAAAAATAAATTTAACTGGGAAATTCAAACTTACAACACAGGAAAGAAAGTGATAAAATAAACACACAATTGTAAAACTATTTTATATATTATATTCTTGGATAGAATCTATAGAAATATGTAGTATAGATCAGCTGTTGTAATCTTCATCTAGAACTTTCGAGAGGTCAGCTTATGTTGACCTGACCCCCCAACTGGATTTCTTCCAGTTAATACAAAATGTGATGACCACCAATTCAGATGATTCACAACGAGAATTAGATAAATTAATCAAGGACAAAAGAACCAATGGCAGGTAGTTCTAATGGCCATGATATTTCAAGAATCAAAGGAACCATGTCTCTGAATCCTGGTTGTTGGAAAACAAAAGTAGGGAAAAGGGGCTACCCCATATTCTTCTGGGCTTATTATGGGCATGGCAGAGGATGGGAAATGTCACTAAATTGATCTTTAGTCCAACCAGCATTGTTCAACTTGCATTAATTGTACTAACAGTTTTTTTCTTGTCGATGAAGGCGACAACTGTGTTGGTGAAATCACTCTTAAAGGCTATCTGAAAAACTTTACAGAAAGACATTTGTTTTTCACAGAATCAAGATTGTCAGTCATCTGGAGATATCTCTGATCCTGTGCACTTCAGGAAATAAATTAAAAGAAGGCAAACAAAGCACATTTGTCTCATGTCACAATCATTTTTAAGTTCCTTTAACAACTGTTTCCCTTTATTAATGGGGGAAAAAGGGAGGGGGATTTCACATAACCCAGGAAGACAAAACATGTCCTTTTTAAATTGAATCCAGCTTTCACTGTGGCCCCGATCTCTTGCTCTTCTTAAATTAAACCGCCACTTACTCTGTCTGTTTTATTCAACAAGCAGGATAAAGAAGGTATTTCATTCTAACAAATATGATTTACAATTGTGGTCAAGGTAAAAAGGGGAGAGATAGAGATAAGAAGATGGGCCAATATTTCTAAAGGAGTTTGTATAATAGGCTATTGCTAATAGACTTAATCTTTGGTTCCACTAGTGTTTTCCTTGAAGTCTCTTTTTTGAAAATAGATAAGATTTAGAGATGCTCTTTGGTTCTGCTCTGTTCTTTTGTTTTGTTTTGCTGTGCTTTCCAATCACTGTCTGCTGGCTACTGCTAAGTGCCGCTAATTCTGCATAACAACTCTGCCTGTGTTTCATAACCTCTTAAGATGATGAGAAGAGTCTATACTAGTGCAAAGGATGCTGCAATAATAAGATAAGGAAAGTAGTTTGTTTGTTTATTCATAATCATAACATGATCTTTGTAAAAATGGTTTCAAAATCCAACATCCCACATTTAAACTGAATAAGGGAACTTAATCACAGAGCAAACTAACCCTCCACTTGTAAACTCAGGCATTTCAATTTAATTAAGACTAAGCTTTGCTGAATTAATATCTACGAAGACCTGAGCCAATCTTACACACTGATTTAGCTGGCGTACTTTTCTATAACATTTAGTACCTTCCAGATGTTTTGGGACCTAATTCCCAGAAAGCTGTAGTTCCAAAACATCTAGACCACACCAGGTAGAGGAAGGCTGATAAACTTTGGCTGTTAGTTGCTCCACAATATCTAGGCAAACATATTTCTCCTTGACTAGAAGACCTTGACACTGAACCTTCTAAACATGCCCTAAGATGAGTGGATAGTAGGTTTTGTGAACTGAAGGTTCAGCAGGCTGTTAGTGCAAGACACTGACTTTTCTGCTAAGGGCTAAGGAAAGACCACCTAGCAAAAACACAGAAGTGCTGGATTTATTATATAGGAAGGCTAACTTTTGCTCTTAATAGACAAGGAATCTACCTGAATCTCAACAGACAGGATAATTCTTAATATGAAGTTAAGTCCAATGGCAAGCAGATCACATTCTAATTTTTCTGTGCTAGCTGCTGTTCTTATTCTCTCTCTCTCTCTCTCCAAAATCCTCTCTCTTTCTGAGTTGATAATTACAACATTTGATGCCAAGCAGCTGTCACTGAGGCACAGGAGCTGCCCAAATACTTCCGCTGCACAATGCATGAAGGCTTACTGGCTAATTTAGTGCACTATAATGAACTCTCCCACTGGCTTCCTTCCATCCATAGCATGGGACACAGTGAAACATAGACTACAAGCTTGGACATTTTGTTCCGATGCATTTGAAAGGAGAGGAAACAATTGGGAGAATCTGTACTCACAATTGTCCCTTACGTTCAGCTCACTCTTGCTTTAAATAGTGAGCATCCGGAAAACATCCAAAGATGGCTCTAATTGTCAGAAGGGTAACGGATGTAGCCTTCTGACAGATGTAAGGTGCTGCTGAATGCGTATGCACATGGCCAATAGGCAATTCACACACTCAGACAGACGTGGGGGGCGGGGTGGGGCGGTTGGGAGAGACTGATTGGCTGAATGGCTGTTTCAGCTTTATTCCGACTTTCACTTACTTAGTCTAATGAATTTAACCTTCAATTAATAGGCATCAATCTTTTTGAAACTTCTAAATTTACTCTAACTTTTGTCTAATTGCATAGTTTAAAATCTTGTTTCTCCCCAAGAAGCTTAGTGTATAAATTGCCCCCTCCCTTTTTTAAATCCTAAACAAAGAGATAGGAATGAGGCCATGGTTACTCTACAACCTTTTGTGTCATGCAGATATTTGAGCGTAGTCTTCCTCAGCCAAAATCCAACATTCTAACCAATTCTCTGTACTGGATGTCATAGTGCCAGCATAGTGTCAGCAAGAAACAACAATGA